TTCTTAACATAAAAATAGTTTTTATAACCAGGGGCAGCACAAAAGTTAGACTCAGTGTCCCTGTTTTCCCCAAGTTATTAACTAACGAGAGTCTGTTGATCACAACCGACCAACCAACCCGATGATGTCACGCTCTATACTGGGACAGGATGTTTTAAAACTAACTTTAAGAATCCAGCTTCACACACACCGTTACATCTATGTCCGTTTTTAAGAGCAGGTGAGCCTTTATATGTTTATTACACAGAAACTACCACAAATGTTTCCCTTTAAAAATGCGGTTTTAGTTATTACCTAAAGCAGAGACTATGAACTTACACCACTGAGGGAGTAACTGTAGCTGATGTTACTGGAAGCTAAGGTTGCAAAAAAACAAGGTTGTGTTGAAATAAGATGAGATTATTATAATAAATATGGATAAACAGCCAGACGTCGTTAATATGACTGTCACTGATATAATTAAGCACGTTCAACAGTTCATTCAGACTGTAGCTATGTGAGTGAATGTTATCATGGTTTATTTCTAATGATAGACATGAAATATTCCAAAGTGTTCCAATATGTTGTTTTTGGCAGAAAATTGAAAAAGATGAATTCATTATTTTACTTTATGCAACGTTATAATGATGTGAAACTGTTGCTCAAACAACTTTAGTCATTCTTTAATTTCAAAAATCAAATTTTCCAGTATGGAAAAACCCTGGGCTGGAAAAGTTGGAGAACATGGATGCAATCTTGTTCTGGACATTTTAAATATCTTTTCCATAACTACTTTCTGTCCAAGCTGAAATATTTTTCCCGCACTGTGTTGTCATCATATATAAGATGTGGTGTGAGAGGGGGTCCTCTGCAATCCCATCAAAGTCTGAGGTATTCATATAAATTATTCCTTTAAAATTTGGAAAAAACGATGTTAAATAGACCTTTATATTCTGTGATCCGTGATAAAACAATAATTATTGTTTTCTTATACATATTTATTCTTCCTGTCTTTGAAACATGTGGATTTGGATCAGTGTTTCCAGCTCAGTCCAGACTTCCTGATGCTTGTTGTAAT